CATCTTTGGCTTACTCTCACTGACATTAAGGAGAAGGACAGAACTTTTCTCCTGGACGCCCCCATTTCGAGTCACGGTCTGTTCGGAGACTCGGTCACTACGGTCGTGGAGAAATTTAGAGCAGCGAAACAGCAGTCAGCTGCGTTCCGTCAACTCATCCCTCGCAGAAAAAGAAAAAAAAATCCTCGACCGGAATTATGGAGGTTATGGGTGTGGCCCTTGAGCGGAGTACGCTAATGTGTTCTGGTCTCTCGGCTGAGATTACTGACACTATTATGAATTCTAGGGCTCCCTCCACAAGACGCTTATATGCTTTCAAGTGGAGACTTTTTGCCTCTTAGTGTAGACAATGCACTTTGGATCCAGTTCACTGCCCTATAGGTTCAGTACTGGAGTTTCTTCAGAGTCGTTTTTCTGAAGGGGTTACCCCCGCCACTCTTAAAGTGTACGTGGCGGCCATATCGGCAGGACATGCACTCGTAGGAGGTGCTTCGGTTGGTCGTCACACCCTGGTGTCACGTTTTATGCAGGGTTCGAGACGGCTTAGGCCTTTCCGCCCAGCCCGAGTTCCTTCTTGGGACTTTGTCACTTCACTTTCGATTGTGTTGGAGGGCCTGACAGGCCATCCCTTTGAACCAATGGAGTCGGTGTCAGAGAAGTTACTGACCATTAAGACCGTTCTTTTGGTGGCTTTATCCTCCCTTAAGAGGGTAGGGCCCCTGCAGGCTCTCTCCATTAGTCCTTCGTGTATGGACTTTGCACCAGGACTGGTAAAAGTCTTTTTGCGACCTAGGCCTGATTATGTTCCTAAGGTCGCTTCAACTCCGTTTCGCTTTCAGCAAGTGGTCCTGGAGGGTTTTTCCCCAGCCGAGAAGGGGTCAGTTGCCCTGAATCTCTGTCCAGTTAGGGCACTTAGGACCTACGTTGACCGTACGACTCAGTGGCATAGATCTGATCAGTTGTTCGTGTGTTTTGGTGGTAAGAACAGAGGTTCCGCTGTCACTAAACAGCGGATGTCACACTGGATAGTGGAGGCTATTTCTTTGGCCTATGAGGCGCATGGTTTGACTTTGCCTCTAGGGGTGCGTGCTCATTCTACAAGAGCATTGGCTTCTTCTCAGGCCTTCTTTAAAGGGTCTTCGTCGGAAGATGCTTGTGCTGCGGCAGGATGGTCCTCTCCTAGCACATTCATCAAGTTTTATAGTCTGGACGTAGGGATGGCTCCTGGCTCCCGGGTCTTATCCGCTTGAGCAGACGCTTTCCTTGGTATTCTAACTATCTACGGTACGTCAGGCGTTATGGTATAGCGTTCCCAAAGCGATGACGTCATCGCAGCATGGAAGTGAGCCTATGAGAGGGAACATCTCGGTTACGTATGCAACCTTGGTTCCCTGAGTAGGGGAACGAGATGCTGCGATGCTCGGCCGTTCCGTACCTTGATAGTGCTTCCTTTGTAAATCAGTGAAATCTGATGAAAATAGCGCGCAGCACGCTATATAGCTCACCTACGTGCGCTTTGGGGGCGGTGCTAAGCGCTATTTGGCCAATGAATTGGCGTGATGATATAAGGGCTTCAGACAGTCCTCACACCGAACTTGTTCCCAAAGCGATGACGTCATCGCAGCATCTCGTTCCCCTACTCAGGGAACCAAGGTTAAATACGTAACCGAGATGTTTTCATTTTCCAACAATCAAGTTGTCAACAATTACGTTGTGATTTTTTAAATATTATGTCTCCTTCACCTAATATTTTCATATTATTTCGAAACTGTAATTTTTGAAGGCAATACCAAAAGACATTTCTGTTTTATTATGTCCCTCGGTTAAATAATAATAAAAATTTATTATTACAGTACTGTAAAATACAGTATTTGCACTGGACAATGATTTCTGTCAAACTGTTGCAAATGCCTTTTTGACCAGTAGAGGTCATGGCATACTAATTTTACAGTTTTTCTCAATTGCTTTGGCTCAGTTCTCGAATGAAACTTTTTTCCCGAAACAATAAGTTCAGATCTCTGAACAATTAGCTTCTTGTTCACATCAGATTGGAATTTCTTATTGATTTGAGCAAATTGCAAATGCTTTGGCACATGTGTGCAAACAGTAAGTACAATTGTCTGCAGTTTGCACAACAACTAATTGCATATGGCTTGTTGATCAAAACTGATGAGCCGATTCTCACTTAAACTGTCAAACTCTTCACAACTTCTCAAACATTTTTCATCGTGTAAGCCATCACATTCAAAACGATCCATTCAATTATGAAAAATTGGTATACACGCATGTATATTCCATAAATATCTGACATTGACATTGTTTGTAATGTCTGCTAAATTGGCAAATGACCTCTAATTGCAATACAATTTGAATCAACCATTCAACCATTTAACCAATCAAGTTTGGGAGCATATATATGTAGATTGCCCACAGCACAATCACTAAGAATGGAGGACTTCCACAACCCTGAAATGCAGCAACATGCTCGTGGAAGAGCAATTAGAAGACGTGTAAGAATACGTGGTGGTGGTGGTGGTGGTGGTGGTGGTGGTGGTGGTGGTGGTG